AGCCGTCACACCATGTCAAGGTGCAGTCTCATCTTCGCCGTTGTGCAGTCTCGTCGACAATGAAGTGCGGTCATTGGTCAATGCAAGGCATACAAACAGTTTACGGGAGAAGAACAAAGCAGTCCGCTAAGCCAATGAATCGAAAGATCAAATATGAAGGCCAACATAAAGTGGACGTTATGAAATGATGCAGAACAAAATGTGAACAGATCCGGGGTTGTTCGTGCGTAATGATGCACGATGTTGGCAAGCGTGGAACAGAAAGAGCTCAATGACGATGAGGGTAGATGACGCACAAATGAATGGGACGAGTAACGCTTAGAGGCTGTATGCGAACAATAACAACAAAGTACAAAGTATGTCACCGGACCAAATCGAAGGTCATTCTTTTAATGGGTCATATGGGTGCACAGTTAATCGAACCGAACCGGAACAAAACACTTAGCGTGATTAATTTTTCCAATCATCGCAGTACAGTGTGCAACCTGTTTTCAAGAAACCACAAGAGATCTGGACTAATTTCCATGAGTTTTGCATAACCTACGTAGGATTTTGTATGATGAGGTGCCCCTACGCATACATCCCTGTCGTTCAGTTCTTCATCAAACCACACTTTGTCTAACCTTGGCTATTTTTGACGCAGATTCACTTAACTTAAAACGCAGGATTCAGTTTCCAAAACAACGCGATGATATAAAAAATTCCTCGATCCATGTTCCGCACTCTGGCCATCCTGGTATCACAATCTTCACTCGCTTATCCGGGATAGATGTGTTCCGAACCCATTTGTTTCACACCTTCGACGGTGTTTTATCTTTTTTGTTGTTGATAAGAATAGATTTTGTACGGCCGCGATTCCACTTAATCGGCAGAAATTTTTATTCTCTCAGAGACCGTGATTACAATCAACAGTGAGTTCAAACGATCATGTCTCAGATTCATTTGCATAAAGTCGTATGCTGTATCACATAGTTTAGATTCCTGTCGATTTAGAGTGACGAAGAATCCACGTTTGGCGGTTTTCAACTTGGTACCGGCAATACAACTTCACATAGTTATAGCGCTATAGATGGTGAATGGATGGACTAAGAACAGCATAAAATCGTTCTTGATAACTAAAAATTGTACGCTTCTACAACGGTGCTGTGTCTCACCACCAAAATGGATTTTTATCGCTTGTGCGCACCTGTGCAACATAAAGCGTCATTCAGCTTCTTATCTCGGAATCACATGGACTGGGATTGAATTCGCAGCGATGCTTATTTTGCCGAACAATGTGGTGGAACATTTCACATTTCAGAACTATGCGTTCGAGTTTACTACTCGACCTATTCGTATGACAAAACATGCTTTTTACACCGCAAAAGTCGTTGCTTCATTTTCATCGCAATAAGAAGTAGCGGTGGTGTGCAAAAGGGATCAGATAATTAGGTCTTGATTCGGGATTCCCTTCGTCCCCATTTTCTCGTTTTTTTTGATAGCCTTTGCATGTCTTCGGTCCCTTTCCTGCAAATTGACGGTAAATTTGTGTACTCAATACATATACAACGAAGTAAAAAGTTGTCTTTCATTTATTTATTTCAATTTCGTCCTGATCAACAGGGCCGTTTGAATTACATGTTTACGGTGAGTCTATAAAATTTCCGAATGCATGGTAAATGGAACAAATCTGTACATAGTCACCTATTCTTTGAAGCTATGGGTACCTAAATATTCGTGACATATTCACATCCATTCAGGTGATCTCCACATAGTTCAGTTGAGTAAGTCATATTTTTGGGTTTCCTCCTAATCTCTGGTTATATATATTGATGTTGGAAAATAAAATATGTTTCTAAATTTAGGGTTCTGTTATACAATTCCTATTAATACTTATACACTCAGCTTTGGACATCACACCCCGTACAGAAAACCCCGTTTAAACCTTAAACGTGTCTGGTGTCAGGTTAGTGTTCAGTTTTTTTAGTCATTGAGGTTTTTACTACTCGAATGTTAGCTAGTAAAACATTTGCTATTTCAAAATAGTGAACTAATTTATTATTAATTACTATTATATTGTTATTCATTTATCAGCTGAAATGACATGTAAGTCCATTCCATGGATTTGATACAACCCTATTCAAATTCCTTATTTAAATCTGAGAAGCGTAAATCCGGCATAGGTGATAGTTTATTTTCAGAGATTTCGGCAATCATTCCTTCGCATCGCCTTGATATAATTATTGTCTGTAAAGTACAACGGTAAAAGTTTTAAATAGAACAGCGTAGCGTACAAGGTCAACTTAAGAGACTCATAACTCCTGTAATACACCATTCCATATATCAGTATATGGAAAAGACATTTTGGTAATTTTTTTCAAGCAACAGACTGGAGGGGTTAGTTTCAGTGCACAATCAATCACAAAAGTGTTGGTTCCTTCGTCCAACCGTTACCATTACTAGGGTGTTGAGGTGGGGCGGATGACGATGGAGCATGAAAGCTTGAGTATCTGCGCAATTTGTTTGTAGACACTCAGATAGGGTTGTAATTCCCTTCACTGTCACTTTGGCTAGAATACAAAAGCTAACCTATCCCGATGGATCACTGTGAAGACCATCCCCGGGGTAATCGCCTCACCGTGTGATTGGTTTCAGTAAGGTTTGAAGCCAGTGTAAGAATGAGTGATTTATGATTCTCAGTGTCCAGCCGAGCAGGATGGTTTCACGGGTAACAACCTAACCGTGAGTAAACGTTTTTCCCCCGGGAAAACTTCTTTGAGCGTATAAACAATGAGGTGGCGATATCGAGCTATTTCCCTTTTCATCATCCAGTTATGCTGTCGCTGAAATCTTCTTGAAGGCGCCGACACTTGGATTTCATTTGGCTTAGATGGAAAGCAATACAAAATATGAAGAAAATCAAATCAAGGCATTAGCCGCTGTCATGATTGATGATAAAAATTTTATATTTGACGAATTAATAGACAAAAAAGGTAAACGAAAGTTTCGAAACTATGAGATTGTACGTTTATATCCGGAGAATTTTGTAATTAACCACATGCTGAGAAAAGAGGTAAACGCATCCCTCTATTCTTTATTTGAAACTTAAAGAACGTAATCATTACCACTGTTTCCTAAAATGAATTGGAGACAGGGTATCACAGCGTATCAGCCGGTATAAAACAACTCAAACTATTTCCCGAATCTTAGCATTATGCGAATAACTTAGAGAACAATTCGCCTAGATTGGAAAATGCGCACTTGCCGATATGACTGCTGGATTGGACACAACAAGACGATGAAATTGTGAGCGGAAAATCAGTCGAAACACTGTTCACGACTAACGAAACAGCCTCTTTCCCGGTTCGTCGGCAAATTCCATTGCTAACAGTTGAACGACATTGAACCCACTCGCCGAGAAACAGAAGTCGAAGCATGATATCGCTTTGAATAGAGAATGCCACCTTGGCAAATGAAATTCCTCATCCTGAAACCGTGTGAATCATTTAAAAAGCCGTCATCGAATTGTTTGTTATTGGTGAAATGGTGCACATGTAATAAAGTTTTGAAAGATTCAATAACGTGATCAAGAGTTTGATCAGCAACGGACACTTTCGATAACCATCTACACATTTCGTGACAATTGATGGTTACATTTGAATCAATCGACCTAACCAACAGTAATCAACATCGGTAATACAAAGAGATAACCATGCGTCTTGCTCACCCACCTCCTTTCAAAATAACATTATCCCTCAACTTCGAGAACAGCACTATCGACCCGATTTTCATATCCCCCAATGTGAAACTGCAGAAACTCGCTGCTAGGATAGGAGAACAAACCATTAATATGTGTTTCAATTTCAGTCGACAAATACATTTTCATTTGTATATCGTATTTGAAGTGCAAAGCTGACCTGTAATTTTGGTAATTACTCATATTACTCAATGACATTAGATTTGTTGTGCGTTTGTGTGTATTTGTGTCACAAATTCCGAATTGACCGATATGTTTTTCAATTACATATATTGTCACAGACAGAGAAAGTATGCGGTTCTTGCCTAGTAAGTTTTGGGTTCAATTTACAAAGAGGGTTTCCGCAATCCAGCGGTGGTTTTTCTACACACAATCAATATTATGATTTCTACTATATTTTTTTCAACCGTCTCTCTCTTTCCCAAAACTAATCCATGTTGATAGCATGTGAGTTACACGGATGATTATATTTTTATCGTCGTATGCATTGATCAAATTTGTCTCGCTGATTTGAAAACATATCGATCAGTTGGTTCTATGCTAAGCAGATGAGTCAGTTGAATGTGTTTGATGCAATTTGTCGCAATAACGAATATCACCTTTGTTTGAATGAGTTTTTCCTTGTGCATCCCTTGTACGAAATTGAGGTTATAATAGTTTCTAACTGGGTAAAAAGCTTTCATGAGTGGCTAAACAATCAACTATTGACAGAGATGAGTGTATGTGGAATTTAACAGCTGTGCGGCGAGGTTATGCAATTATCCGATATTTTTCATACTACTTGTTTTGTTACGTTGTGACGTGTGTTTTGCTAAATAAAATTCCATTTAGAACTGAAGTTTTCCTCTATGAATCAGCTTCGTTGCTTGACACATTATTATATATATATATATATAGCTTCTCAAGCTACAAACCACTAACTTCAAAAACATATGTGTTCGTCTTTTTAGAGGACGTTTTTAGCAAATGTATATGTACATCCGAAGCCAAATCCGGATGCGTTTGGTCATTCGGTGACGTAAATACCTATATCTTATGCCTAGTTAAAAGGCCAAACAATCATATCTCAGAATAAATTTCCATTGACTGCAATTTGAACGTTGCCAGATGCAATGATCTGATCTGGGGTATTTTGTACGCAGTGATTTTTAACTTCTCTCTTCAAATTTGCCACACAAAAGTATTGGTTGCAAACACATTGTAATGATCAGATTTGACCTAAATTTCCATGGATGCAACTGATGAAGAGTAGGCAGCCTCCGAATTTTATGAATTATCAAGACAGTTCCTATCATGTCTTTATCCATTTATATATGTAGATTAATATCTGTGTCCATAAATTAAGATCAAATCACTTTTTTCTATTCATGTTAAAAGCATTTTTGAATGGATAGTAACAATGCTCATGGTTCATTTGTTTATTTTCATGGATTCACCCAAAAAATCACGCGGTTTCAAACCCTGTTAGGAACTTATCGTTTGGCACAAAATAAAAATGTTCAGTTCAATAACTCGTTCACAAATCATTTACGGAACTCGCTAGAATATCCATGGTATAAACGGCAGTCTTTTGGATCACACCGAACAATATTTCCAGCATTTATCATCACCCTTCTTATTTTTCTATCAGTAGTTACTCTTGTCCAAATGAATAAAACTAACTACTCATTCACTTTACAGTTGCAAATGTTGACGGTAAGATCAACGTAGTTCACATCTTGATTTCGAATCACACCACTACTGCACTATCTTAAATACTCTTATTTCCGTACTTTTTAATCATCGTTCCATCATTGTTCCATCGTAACCCGCAAAAATAAGCGATTAGTATGAAAGAAAATTTCACAGATTACCTGGATAAAACATTGGTCTGTGATGTTATTGGTAACGGCTCGGTTTCAGGATCATTCATTGCCAAATATGGAAAACGTTTACCACTATAAGTGCTGTATTTTATATAGATAACTCAGTGAGAAACAAATGATACGTTGCTAGTTTTATTTGTATAGATCACACGGTCTAAAATAAGTTACATCTCGCTTAGATTCAACAGATACTCGTGCGAATCCTAGCACACATTGCAATAGTATATTGACGTTCACAACTTAAAAATCACCGAAATATAAATAAATCACTTTCAGGAAACTTAAAAGATCTACTGTAACGGACAGATATTGAAAAATGACTCCTTGAGACTTTGGGTTTAATTACGAACAAATTTCATTCCCCTGTCTTTTCCAGTCGATTCCAACAATAGGTGACCACTCAGACTTGCAGTAAACTACCATCGTTCTGCATAGATGAGTTCTTCAAATCACTTTCGACATTCTCCTATATTTTCTTCCAAGCACACCCTCTGCGTTCATGCCTGAAGAATGACAATTTTAAACACTTATTCGCGTGACTTACTACTTACTAATGTGAGTAGTTCCTGCCATGTCTAACATTCCACGTCATCGGAATCGTTCATGATCACCTGAACCGGTTGAGCTATTTGTTCCATTTCAAAGTTGTAGGAAATCTCGTCTCTTGACTTCCCCGTTTCCCACATACCGACCTACTACTCGTCTAGTGAATGTGAACTCGAACTGAGAAATACGTAGGTTGACGAATCATATGGTACACATCTGTTTAACTAACAAAACAAATCTAACGATTTCCAACCCCGTAATATAAGACTTTATCAAGGCAAGATATAACTGATTTGGGACAGAGTGGAATATTTTGAAAACACAAAAGGCCTCAGGCTATAGCTGTTTTGGGGGAAGGGTTCGCTGTTTCGATGAATAATGTCTGTTGTCGATGCGATTAGTGCAAATGCAGGAAACAGATTTCTTATCCAATCCAAACAATATCATCGTTCATTTAAACGGTTTTATCGTCCTCATTTGATCAAAAGAGTTGAACTTATACATGATCTTACAAATACCCCATGTTCTCAATAGTTCCCTGATCCTTTTAAAACCATTCATAGCCAGTTTTCTTGTGAAGGTGACCGGAGATCTGATTGCCTTGAGTAACGACAAAATGGATGAGGTTCCAGTAATGGATGCCTGTGGAGTTGTGGAAGATGCCCAGCGATCTGTTTGTGCACAGGTGAGACCACAACAGGAAAAGCTTTTTTTAATACGTTGTTGTTGTTTTTGTCGTTGCTGTTGTTGTTGTTGTTCTATATTACACCGGCTTTCTCTGGGTCATTCCTTGTTGGTTTTGGTCCGCACTTGGCACGTAAGTTGCCTCTTCTTCCGCGTGCCATTCCGACTGGTTTGACCCGATCGCGGCGCACGATGCGTTGATCGACAGAGCCGACGTTGTGGCATTCGGTGGGTATCTTTTCCTTAAGCTGTGGATTGTCTGTCGGGCTGTAATTGTCGATTCGCTTGCTTCGGGTGGCAGTCAAGATTGCCTCGCGAGNCCCGCCGATGCGTCTGCGCGTCTGATCGGATGAGCCCCATTCTTGATTCGGTCGCTAACCAGGACTCTCTTTGTACTGCCTTCCATCACAATATCTCGAATCGTCTCTACCCAATGGCGATCTTCATCTCTTAGACCTTAGCCTGGAAGGCGAGCTGCACCAACCGAAGCCAATACCCAGGCTAACTTCTTCATACCTCTACTCCACGTCATGGTCTGACCACCGCGAAGCTTCTTTCAGCCTTTCCCGGCACGTGCAAAAAGAGCACGGAGAGGTAGTCGGTGGGCAGACATACGTAAAACATGACCTAGCCATCGGAGGCACTATAGAACGATTTCTTCCGTTAGAGAAAGACAATCAGTACCCATCACACGATGACGAATTTCGTCAATGCTCACCCGATGTTCCTATTAGACACGAGAAATGTTTCGAAGGCCTCGGTGTTCGAATACGGAAAGCTTATAAGCATCCTCCGCTCGGAGAGTCCATGTCTCGTAACCGTAAAGCAGAACACTACGGACAGCGGCGATATACACCTTTCCCCTAGGGACAGTCGGATATCAGGTCGCCGCCATATTTGTCGCAAGTTGGTGAAAGTTGCTCTAGCCTTCGCCATTAATGCTGTGATCTCTTACCCAACCCCACCTCCAGGTGTGATAAGCTCCTGAGGTACTTAAAGTTCTTAACTACTTCTAGCTGATCACCACAGAAGGTGAGTGCAGGCACAGCCTCCTGCCAGCCTTGAACCAGCACTTTACACTGGTGTAAAGCTTGTTAGACTGTCTGTGCAGTGTCATCCAACAAGACGATGTCATCGGCATTTTCTGAGTCAAGAACTCTGTTCCCTGGGAGAAATTTGACTCCATCCTTTGCTAACGCGGGGCCCTTAAATTTGGCCGTGTCTTGTTATCGCGGAATATTATTTCATAACGTTACGGTGGAGGAATGCGTGGTCATCACATTTGAAACAACTCGCTATCTTCTCAAGGTCAAATGTTGTCCTACAACGATAGATTTTTGAAATCCTTGCAGTTTATCGTACATAAACATCAGTTTCTTATTTTTGCCCATTATGTGAGAAATCTCACCAAACGACCGCAAAAATCTGGTCAATGACACCATAAAAAACCACCGTGCTGGCTGGCGTGTGACACTTAGGTGGCCTTCTGTTGATAATTTGGCTGTTCTATCTATTATCTCATGTAACATTCGTTCGCTCATGGAAAAACTCAAGGATGTCATGATACACCAGAAGGAATGCACGAATGTAGGGGCTATTCTACTCCAGGAAAGCCTGGCTACGCCCTGATATTGAGAACAACGTCGTCCATCTTGATGGATTTCAACTATTCCGAGGTGACCGTAATGTGAATCTCCTTCAAAGAGGTGGTGGAGTAGTCACTTTCGTCAACAGGAAGTGGTAGAAAAACGCTTGTAAATGTTTTCAATTTAATACTCCCCAGACAAATTGTATTTTTGTTCATTGTAAGCCCCGATTTATCAGTCAATTTCATCACATTACATTAGCGAACATTTACATCGCTCCTGACACGCCTGCCTCTGATATTCGTCTGTTTGTCGACACCTTCTGCTCACAACTTGTAACCGGTTACAAGTTGTGAGCAGAAGGTGTCGACAAACAGACGAATAT